GTTAATTTCTTGCATTTGTCTAAGTGTTCCTGTACTTTTATGGGCTTCTCACATGGTACTGATTTTAGAACATACCATATGGTTCAATAGCTTGTCACCATTTTCATTAGTCTCAAAATATTTTTGATTTATTGTTTGTCTCAGAAGTTTTTCAGAAGCGTTTTGTTTAGTCTCACATGCTTTGGTTTATTCCAGGATGCATCATACTTTTTCATGCACTTTCTCTGTCTATGCCTTGATTTCAGACCAATAATCTTTAGGGTAATTATTAATGAAGACTTTTTTTATTATCACTCATGTTATTGTTCTTATAGGATGGTTCAAAATTTCATGTTATGCAAGTCTGGTAGTGATAAACTATTTCTTTTTCTCTGGGAAAACCTTTATTTCACTTTCATATTTGACTAACATTTTTAGGGTAAATTATTCTTGACTGGTAGGTATTGTCTTTTAGATTCATGGAAAAATTTACTCTCCTCTTGCTTGGAGAGTGTCTGTGGTGAAATCCAAGCAAAGGCTAACTTAGGTATTTGGGAGTTATTTTTCTTGCCTTGCTTCCTTTTTTTTTTATTATTTGAGTTTTGATAATTTAAATATAAGTATCTTTTTCTTTTTTTAATATTTATTTATTCAAACAGAACTGGGGTGCAGGCCAGAGGTGCAGGAACCGTGAGAGGATTCACCAGAGACAGAGTGGGAAGAAGAACAGGCAGATTGACAAAGTACACTACTGAGGGGAGCAGCAGGGGAGACAGGAGAGATCTGCCACATCATGTGGATCATTTCCAGGACTGGGGATTGAACTCACACTGAATTGCCTCCTACTAGCTTTCAGTGCTGCATCCTAACTTGTGCCATTAGGGAGGGCCCAAATATATGTATATTTTTCATTTAAAATTTTTGGATGCTCTTCCTATTTCTGGGACATTCCATATTTAATTAATTCCCTAGGTTTGAGATATTCTTAGTTATAACTTCTTCAATAGACTCTGCTCTTTTCTCTGTTTACCTTCTGAAACTCCAGTTATTCTTGTGTTACCCCTTCTAATTGAAAATATTTCTCGTAGAGTCTCCTCATATTTTTATTTGTCTTTATCTAATTGGGTGATTTGTTCAGTTGAGACTTCTATTTCTGAAATCATTCTTCCTGTTTAACTTCTCAAATTTGCCTGCATTTTATTGAGTCTCCTTTTGTGATCCTTTACTAGTTCTATTATCTTTGGTGAAGAGCCTTCATTGTTCTGGATCTCCTTTCTAAGATTTTGTAGCTCTTCTATTTCTGTATTCTATAGATTTGATCCATAATTTCTCATTTTGCTTTTTCTATAATGTGTTCAAATGTCCCTTTCATTGTTCTTGTGTGTATTGCCTTTTTTTTTTTTTTTGTGATTGGTGTCAAATGACTTAGTTTTGCTTGTTTCTATTTCTAGTTAACTTATTATGAGTTCAGGGATGGAAGGGAGTTTGTAGTAAATACTCAAGCTCAGTTTGAAGTTGGTGACCCCTACTCATCCTTTCTCTTTACAGAAATCTGTGTTCAGTGTTTTAGGTGTCTTAATTTACCATTCCACCTTTTTTTTTTTTATTACAAAGTTTATTTTTACATCATTTTGCACATTTTTTTTTCCATCTCGATTGTAATCCCCACGGGTTTCCCATCATCAAATCACCCACCATTCCACCTTTTTTGATGCTTCTTTCTACTATGGGTCAAGACCTGTGAAGTTTCAGTTTCCTTTAGGGGTATACCTAGTTCTGGATTACAAGTCTCAAGCTTCAGGACTAAGGTGGGTTTGGCAGGCAGGTGGTGCCACAGTGAATTAATTGGGTCATATGCTATATTGTCATTCTGAGATCTCTGAAAATGTGTCTCTGCAATGCCTCCACCATTGTGGAGGCTATAAGTCCATAAGATCTGTATGTTCTTTGTTAAATTCTCAAGCTTTCCTGATTTATTTCAAGTTCTTTTTTTCTGATATTGTAGCCACTATGGAGCCCAGCCTGGGTAAGGCTGGCATCCCTTTGTTCTCTTCCGGAAGGGGCATGGAAGCAGTTTCCCATGCCCACACCAATTGCAGTTTTATCAATGTCCTGCTTTGGGAATGCACCTACAGAATCCCCACCACTTAGGGGTCAGAACTGTGATTGCATATAAAAAAAGTTTCTCCAGATAATTTCACTGTCCTGTTTTGGTTTGGATGGCCAATCCCAGCCAGTTCTGTTAGCTGGAGTTTCTACTTTCCCAGTCACAATCACCTTCACTTGTTCCCAGTCCTTCCTCTCAACAGGCATCAACCTCACTAAAAGATCTTGGGAAAATCCCGTGAGTCTTCTGGGTCTCCCCAGAAACTTCTGGGTCTTTCTCTAAACAAATATTATTTATATTATTTGTTTTTTTTTTTTTTAGGGGAGAAGGTGACTCCACCTATTTGAACTTACTCTATTGTGAGTGAATAATGGGACTATTTCATATGTAAAGCAATGCAAATTATGTTGGCATTACACCTTCAAAGAAGGAAAGCCTAATACCCTACTTTCTTTAGACATGAGCTATTCATAACATAAATATAAAACACACTTCAAAACCTAAAGTGTGGCAAGAGGAAAAAAATGAGTAACCACAATGGAGAAACCGGACAAGTACCATTTCAACTAGGTGATCAAGGACAGCCTTATTGATAGTGATTAGGTGAATGACTTTTATGTCTGTGGATTTCCACCCCCAAAAATATAACCCTGATGTAATCATGAGAAATATTTAAAAATAATCCTTGTGGAAGAACATTATACATATCAATGACCAACGTTCCTGAAACTGTAAAAGTTATTTAAAAAAGAATGAGAATTTTGAGAAGTTCTTTTACTTTAAAGAAGTATATGGAGAGTATATTAAATAGAATGGGGTGTCCAGGATGAGATCCTGGAACAGAAATTAAAAAAACACATTCAAAAAACAAAACAAAACAAAAAACTAAAGAATAATAAGGTTTGGAGTTATATAATACTTGTTCATGAATTGTAATAAATTTGCCATACAAATATAAAACTATTACTAATAAAGGAAAATAATAATTGTCATTTGGAAACTTTCACACTATTGCTGTGCTATATCTGCCTATCAAACTCAGTTTAACATAAAAGTTTATACAAAGTAAGTCTCAGAAAAATGTAAGAAAAACAGTTAAGTTTTAAATCGATAACCAATTTAATATGTATTATAATTGTTGGGAAATTTGTTACATAGCCTGTACATGTTTTGAGTCCTGTATTAATTATTTTCCTGAGTAAACATATTATTTTATTACCTAATATTTTGATCAAAGATGATGGAAGGTAAAGTAAAAAAAAAAAAAAGAGAGAGAGAGAAAGTATACTCCTACCCAGATGTATCATAATAGTTATTTTATATATGTAAATAATTTAAGTTAAATTTGTCATAGGGTACTAAATATGAGATTAAGGATTAAGTTTAGACAAATGGTTAAATTTCCTCATCTATTTCTCTGGTTTCATTGGATAGCAGGGAATTAAAATTAATTCTAGAGAACTTATGTTTTATGTAATCTGTAAATACTGGAATTTTACTAGTTTTACAGTAAAGAAAAATATTTTATATAAAAGTGATAAGTAGGAATTCCCATTTTCTTCATATACAATCTTGAAAACAATTGTGAAAATTAATTGTTAAGCTAATAACAAATATCTTATAAGCACTCAATATTATGTAATGTATAAAATCAGATTATAATTTTATCATAAAATTGACATTGTATTTACTATTTTTAACCTATGTTTTGTCTAATCTATCTTATGCTTTCCAATAAAATATAACCAGACTCAGAACCCACAAGACAGATTTAGGAAAACAAAAAACAAAAAACAAAAAACACTCAATGTATTATGTAGCATGTTCAATTGCTATTTAAAATAATATATTTTCTTTAATAGGAAATAGTAATAATTCAGTGAGAGCATGGATGAACCTCTCATTCCATTTCATCGAGATCAGATTTTCATTAATTTCATATAACAGAATATAATAATAAAGAACCAAGTGATGTACCATTCTAAAAACTGATGGGAATAATTTTGCAGTCAGATGCTCTACCACTGAATTATACCCCACCCTGATAGGAGTAATTTTGAAGAGTACAAAGTCTTATATTGGAAATTTCCCATGTACTTTAAAGTATCATTTGTTTTTAACCCTTACATTTAGTTGCTATATCTTTTTATAGTGTCATGGCATCAAGTTTCTAATGATAACTTTTAATGTTCTTATGATTTTCACATAATTAAATTGAAACTCTCAAAGAACACTTAAATGAATTCTAATAGGCAGTTTTATGCATATAAGTCTATGTCACCATTTAGTTGTTACACATAACAACTAAGTGAATCTCTAGTCAATATTTTATTCATTGGCTTATTCTAATATTCTAATATTCACTATTAATTAAAATTCACTGTTTTAATGTTATCAATATTAATATTATTCACTAATAGCATCCTTCCTTATTCACACTATTGATTAATAAAAATTTAATTGCTAGACAGAATTATTCATGCATATAGCCATTTAATTAAAATGCAAAAGATTAGTCAACATTACTTCAAGAGATAGCCACATGAAAGGCAGTTTTTAATTACTCTTTTTTCTGAGTTTCTTTCCCAGTTGTAAACTAGATTTCAAAATTAATATTGGGAATGCACTAACACTTGAGGGAAGAGATTAATAATATAGTAAGTCATGTTTGAGTGATTAGTGGAGTGGAAAAGTGCAGAGAAATGCGTATTCTCAGTCACAGGAGGTGGTGTCTGCCTCACAAAAGTTTAGGAAGAAAAAATCTTTCTTCTTTTTCCCCTCTGTTTATTATACGGTGGGAGTTCTTAACAGTTTGCCCACAGGATATGCTTCATTTCTCTGTCTGCAAACTCCTATTCCCCTCCCTTCCACCTAATTCAATGCTGATGGCTTACCATTTCTCTGTTTCTTCCAGACTATTCCTGGTGCCATAGCACATGGATTTCAGGACTGCCTGTGAAGAGGTAGGTTAAGTGACTTTCTGTTTTTCAAATTAGGAAAACAGGTTGTAGACAGAAAACTCTAGTCACTCCTTTATATAAGTAGCCAGAATATCTAGGGAAGGTTCAGATTTTCAATCTTCCTTTAAGAAGACAGAAATATATTTTATTTGATTGAATGTCTCCATAAACTATTCACTAGAGTTGAAATGTTAGATGTAATTCTTTTTCACATAAATTTGAAGATACGTAAGGTGTTTTCAGCAGTAAATTCTATGTTAATCGCCCCAGTATTACTTATTTAAGCATTATTTAAATATTTATGAATATCAATTTAGATTTTCTGAAGCACTGTCATCACAATTTGATAAGACTTAACAATGATTCATTGGTCTTCCAAGGATTTTAAAGACCTTCAAATGTGCAATGTTGTATAAACTAACTTATACCTAGACGATGTGAACAATCTATATTAGAAAGAAATATTATCTTTCATTAGATATGTGATCAAGACATTGTCTTTTCACTCTTCAGGAAAATTCCAAATTTAAAAATCATGTTGTTTATTAAACTTTAAAATATATTTATTGTTCATAAACTACCCAAAGAAAAGCAAACAGTTGGATTATCTATTGACAAACCAACAATAGTCATTAGCTATTACTAGTTATCCAAATTGTTATTTTAATGAAATGTCATTTGACAGATTTCCTGGAAAATATATTTTTTTACATATCACCATAGATCAAAGTTTAGGATCTAACTCTTTTAAAATTAATAAATCACTTTTTTTTTCAGAAGTTAACTATGATAATATATCTAAATACTATATTTTTAAATTTAAATTATCCTTATATTTTCAAACCTCTCTCAGATTACATACAAAATTCTATCAAAGGAAAATATATTATTTATCTGTAAGTTAGCACTCACCAATGGATTCCTTTTGTTATTGCAGTTAACGGTTTTGAAACTTAAATTTAGGTATTTAAATAAAAGTATTTGTAATTTATATGTGTATGTAAATTACATAAATGCAAAATAATTTTAATTTTCTTAATGTAGAAAGTTTGTCATTTTAATACATATGTTAACTTGTGTTTTGGGTAGTAAGACAGGTGTTAAAACTGAATAGATGTTTGTGCTTGGGACACAAATGAAGCACACCAGATAATGGCCAAATACTACTTTAATAATGGGTTTACCTTGAACTTCTGAGACTAACAAAGTTGATTTTCTGTACTTTTTAACAAATTTATTTTGAATAATTGATTTGGAATATATATTATCTTTTATTTAAGATCCAGAACATTTGTTTTGTAATGTTGAAACTGTTGTGATAATTTTGCCTTTGATTTTGTAGTGGTAGATTTCTGTTTTCTTGCAAAGAACTTTTGAGATTCTCCACTCTTTCAGACTGCCCTCACTGTGCAATAGAACTGTCCCACAACAGCTCAACAATATTCACTGTATGTCTTCCACACACTAGTTGGGCTGTCAGGAATGGGGAACTCTGAAATACTCTGAAAATGAATAGCTACCCAGGACACTGAGCCACAGTCACTGAGTTTGCCTGAAATATATAGTCTATGACTATAAAGTGCAAAGGAACCAGAGTAATTATTTAACTTAACTCAATACTCTGTAATGAAGAAACTAAGTTTTATTTTTTTTTCTTTTTTAAAGAAATGATGAGTGTCATTAAATAATTATTTAAAAGCAGAATTGTGAGTTGAGACTTAGAACTTCTGCATCTAACTATGTGTTTCTTTCTAAAAGCACATTATTCTAAAAGCTGGACATTATGTTATAATCAAAGATAAGTTGAATATAATTTGCTTTCGCTTAACTTCTAGTAAGACACTACAGATGAAAAACTGATAATTTCATTAGTTAAAATATTACTATATAAATACCAGGAATGTCTATTGTTTGAAAAGTTATCTTAACCAGATAAATTACATTTAAAATATCTTAATTATCTAATATTATTTATTTTGATGGGAACTTTTATTTAATGTTTGAAATGCTTCCCTGTTACAATAAAAATGGTTTAGTTTTTTCAAGAAATTGGGATTTAGAGCATGATAAGGAAGAAAAAAATAAATTTGAAAATCCACAATTCAGAATAAAAAATAGACATGTAGTTGGGCATATTTAATGACTGTCTCTACTTTAAAAAGTTGATAGCATATGAATATATTGGTGGTGGTAATACCATGTGGGTACAACTGAGATGAAAAAGAATACATTGTACAAAAATGAAGAATGATGTAAACAATATTTTAAAAAATTAATAAATAGTGGTGCTACCAAGATAACTTTGTTTCACATAAACCTATATGCTGTTGTTAGTCTACTTTTACTTTATATTTTATTTATAAATCTATACTTTTTAAAATATCATCTGCTTCTTTCTGTTGACTATGAAAGCATCATTTTTAAGTCATGTATTTGATTTAATAATTTGTAGAATTATTATTTAATTTTCCCTCATTTAATTAAATGTAAGCTGTGACTATGATTTAATAATCAATAGAGAGGAAACCCTATGATGAATAAAATACTATATCCTAATCTATAGCGCAATTATTTCAATAAATAGTAATATTTATTAGTCTATAGTAATTATTTTAATAAGTAGTAATATTTTAATAAATAGTGATAGCTTATTATTAAGATCTACTTGAGATGAGAATATAAAATATGAAATTACATAAATGTGACATAGAAATAACTTTTGTTGAAATCTCTATTGGTGATCCCAAAATATAATAATGATCAGTATCAGCTTAATATATTTTATGAATGAAAACTCTGAGTTCATAAAAGCAAGGACTAATTTTTATAACCTGTGTCCTTCAAAGACATCAAAGATCATTATTCTGCTACTAGTACTTAAAAAAAAAAAAATGGATAGAATAAACCTAGGAGGAGATCATGATTAGAAGAATCCTGGAAGGAAATGTAAAGGGTAAAATGCATTTAAAACATCTTATATGAAATGGCTTTTAATGATCTACATCTACTATATAGTAGAGTATGAGAATTTACATACTACTTAAGTATAGCTTTATAAAACAAATTAAGATATATTTGTAAACATAAGTATAGAAATATTGAGACTAACTGCATGAATATTTGAAGTCTCTATCTAGTTTTTCTATATTATGGTCTCTATATTATGGTCTTTAGTTTCTTATAGTTTCTGGTTTTTTCCATTTCATACTGTAAATATTATATTTCAGGATAAAGAAACAGATTTCAAGTAATGTGAAAATATACTTAGTGTTTGTTGAACTAATGGGACCTATATTAAAGTAGCCATAACTTTTAAATTAGAAAATGGATGATTAGTAATACCATTTTGTTGGCAAAATCATCTATCAGGTATTGAGTGATAGCTTATTCATTTTCTTTCCAGTAGTCATTGTATTGATACATAAAGTACATCTGATTCAAGATGACATCCAACTTGAGTCCTTTGTATTCTCATGGGATATTATCTATGGCCCATTGCTACCTAATGAAAGACACAATGCCATGTCATTGTGGACCAGAGAGTTGGAGGCTGAGGCCCTTAAATAATCTTTGCTTGAGGGAAACCAGGGCAGCTGATAGAGCATGGAATCTGAAGTCCAACAGCCTAGGTTTAGTCTAGTTCTATCGGTTTCTGATGTCTAGTTCTATCTGTTTCTGTTCAGTCTATAAGAAGAGTTCATGAAATTATCAGGAGAGTGAAAGGAACTAATATTTTTGGGTACAGAATAATTTTTTATAAGTGGTTATTAAACAACAAATACATGAAATATATGGCCACAGTTTATTAGTGGTGATACCAGCTAAGCAATGCTGCCCTGAATCAGGAGAGTGCCTTAAAACAGATGTATCCATCTTCTAAGGAAGACTTTAACCTCTCACAATATTTCTCACTCAATGTTTAGATTTATGTCAGTAATGCTGTGTTTTAAATGTCTCTATCAGTCTTGTCTATTACAAGCAATACATTTATAAAATACAAACTCACATGTGTCTAATTTCTCTAGGGCATCTCCATTACTTCAAACCCCTGGCCCATAACACAGGGTATGGGCCACTTCCTCCTCTCCTGGCTCTTCTCCATATCATCCACTGCAATGCACAGACTTGGCCTTAGGGACACATTCTTGTGTTTCTGTCATCTAATTTCACCTGTACTGTGCATTCATGTGGTTTCATATCTTTACTCAGCTTTTTTCCATCTTGAATAAAATAATTTTGCGTCCTCTAATTATTGTTTTGCAATTTGTTTTTCAAGATTATTGCACATATTTCTATCTAGAAGTTATCCATTAGCACCGTCTTTCTCCATGATGCTCCTATAACAAATTAATAGAGGCCCTCTCTGGTGGCGCAGCAGGTTAAAAGCACAGCACTAAGAAGCTGAAGCCACTTCTGCATGAGTTCGATTCCCACCTGCCCCTGAGGTGACCACATGGCACGGCAGACCTTTCCTGACCCACCTGCTGCTCCCCTCAACAGTGTACTTCGTTGATCTGCCTGTTCTGCTCCCCTCTCTGTCTCTGGTGAATCCACTCACCATCCACATCTCTGGCCTGTACCCCAGTTCCATATGAATAATAATAAAAAAGATTAATAGGAAATCATATTGCATCATATTCATATATATTTTTATATATAGGAATAATCTAAGCTCATAGACTAATGTCTAATTCATGTCTGATTCTATACTAATGATGTGAGTTTATACTAAGACTTGCAAATTTAATGACTTGCAAATGTGTGGACTTTTAAATGTATATTCGTATATATAAGTTAAATTTTTATAATGTAACATATGTTACATCTATAACCCCAAAATGCTTTGCACTTGAATATTAGTTTTGTTAGATCTTTGCAAATTATTTTCTCCAGTAGGCTATTTATTGATTATGTAAATGTATGCATATGAAGGGTGTGCTGTGTGTATATGTATAGAATGAAAACAGTTAATTGTAAGAAAAAGTCACTTAATTTTTTCTTTAGCTTTGTCTAAAAGTTTGCATTCTCTTTGCACTTCCAAATAGCTGTCTAATAATTTAGGGAATAGTTTATATGTTAGTAGAAGGAGCTGTGATCATATCAGGAATTTGATGTGATAAATCTCCTAACTGTATTTTGCCCCTCAAACTTTCCCTAGATGAATTTTTGTATCTCATTATAATGTGTATTTATGGGCTTTCTGGGAAAAGCCTATCTTTCATCCTCAAGCTGAAACAATTATTTGTGATTGCCAGTTTTTCCAATACACTTCTGGGGGGGGGGGTTGGCACAGAATGTACTGTACATTGAAAATCAGAAATGTTTTCAGTTGTGTTCATTTGGCTTTCATCTTATTTTATACCCTTCACTTCCCCACAATACCTTAGAGATTCCTGATTTCAGTTCCCTGTCAAGGTCTCATTGTAAGCATGAGAGACTTTTCTATGTGAAAAATGTAGAAATTATGATCTATATTAAGGAAAATATAATTTGCTTTTTATAAAATGTTTTGAACTGCAAACAGAACCACTTGAGTTATGTTCTGGAATAGATTAATCAACAAAATACAGTATGTACCTGCTATGCATCAGTCCCATATTTGAGGAAGGAGCACCATCCTTACTCCAGAAAAAGCTATTTTTTCCTAAAATATATTATCATACACAATGATTACAGACTAATTATGGTATGTATTAACATGTGAGATAAAGCATTTTACACAATTAGTGATCTTTGACAGTTACAGCATTAACTATAGTCAAATCTACATTATGGAGTATTATCTTAAATAACCCCTAGCAATCCAAACAGAAGTTATATTCCAGGACAAAGTCCATTACAGTTTGGGGTATTTCACTCAGTAACAGCTGAAGATAAAGACTTATTTATATTTTTGTCCATTTATCCAAAATAAGGACTTAATGTTAGAATGAAAATATAATTATTGAAGTAGTTGCTTCCTGTTTGGTACAGAAAAACACTAGAGTTTATATTCTATCTCAATAGAATTTCCTTTTAGATTTCTGACAAATAAGGGTGTTAAGTGCACTTATAGAGGAATGTTGCTATTTTCTCAGTGACTATTCTAACACTGGCATGCTTCAGGAATCACAAAGTCATGGACACTTCCAGTGATGACGAAGGTGCTGATTTAAAGTTATGTAGTTAAACTTTTCAAAAATGTGCAAAGCATGAACAGTGGATTATGAGTCAAAAACCTTGGGTCTTAAACCAGCTCTTTTCAACTATGTTAAATTAGGCAATAAACTATACTTCCTGGTTCTATGATGCAGACAACGCGTGTGTGTGTCTTGGCTACTTGGAATGAGCAGATAACGAAGGTTAGAAATGATAGAAAGTCTATGTGTTTTCACATTTAATATCTGTGATAGAGACAGAAAACTGAATATAAGGATTTGGGGATTTTATTTTTTAAGAGTGGCAGGCATCAGGTAGAATTTATTGTAGTGATAGCTGAGCAAATGTGAATGAATACACTGTAAATCATCAAAGTTTACATTGTAAATGATTGAACTGCATAGACTAAAATTTTCTCTTAAGCTGTTACAAAAATTAGATTATAAATTTTAAACAAAATATTAATTTTCTATCATAATATATGAGATAGAATCCTTAGTCTACTGTAGTATATGAGATAGAATCCTTAGTCTCCAAATTTCTCTGTGGATTTTCTAACATAATGCCCAATATCTGAGGTCTAGTCTATGTGAAACAGTTATCCTTTTTCACTGCACCTTTATATATATTAAATCCAGACTCATGAAAGTGTAACGAGATCTCAAATTTTATTCATGTTGTTTTACTGCAAATAGGCCATAACATTTTGATCTATAAACTCAGTGTATTTTTTGTTTTCTCTGTCTTGCTCTTTTCTTTTTGTCTGAAGACAAAGACAGGGATTTGTTTGCTGCAGGATGGTAATCAGGAGCCTTTCAAAGTCCGACTACACCTAGCCAAAGATATTTTGATGATCCAGGAACAGGATGTGATATGTGTGTCTGGTGAGCCTTTCTATTCTGGTGTAAGTAAATTTCCTTCTGTTGAATTTCTTTTCTTTTATCCTTTTCTTTTTCCTTTTTTTTTTTTTTTACGTTAATAGAATTGTTTACTCACAGAAAAGTCTTAACATAGTTTTCTTTTACTTTCAGAATCTAATCAATTGTCCTTCATGTAGCTTTTGTTTGCATTTTAAAAACTAATCCTTTATAATGACCTTCACTGGGTCCATAGTCATATTTTCCCACCTTCTCCACCTTTGAGTTTCACAGATTCCAGTCATCACAGTGTGACAGGAGGGACACTTGTATTTTCTGAGTTTAAGGGTTGTACTCTACTTTTGCACACAGAGAACTAAATGAGATGAGTGTATGACATTTTTCCCTGTTCTGGCCTTGTACTTTACTCGATTTCTGTAGATGTTGCAAAAGTGAAGCCACTCTTTCAGCATTTGGGAAGCAAGGCACTTGAGGTAGTAAGTCACTGAGCTCAAAACCAATACTATGCCCAGAGGATATGCATTGATTATTCTGTGAGCTACCAGATTACCTGATAGAATTCTTCTTCTTCTTTTTTTTTTTTTTTCTAAGTTCTCTTCAATGCACTAATTGGTTGACATGACATGCTGTGATTGTTAATCCAGATTTAGAATCATAAATTACAACGCAAAATTTACTGCTTTGCACACTAGTGCTAAAGTACAACTGTAAAGACTTCCTTAAATTAAATTAGATTAGATTTGATAAAATCTAATTTTATCATAAGACAGGACACATTTTAGAGTTTATCATTAGTTGTGACATAGCATTAAGTTCATCATGTCAACAGTGTCACCATACATGATCTCAGAAGAAAATTACAAGTTTTGAAATAATTTCCTGGATTTCCTAGACATCTGTAGCTATTAAGTATGAAATTTACTTTTTAGTTTATTCACAGACATACCTGGAATGTTTTGTGGTTGTGAATAATGCTGCAGGTGAATTTCCACTTCCCGTCTCATTAACATCCTATGCCAGTCATAACAGGCCAGCCCTAAGTCAGCAGACTCTCACTGAATAAAGATATTCGACATTTTGAGGACTTTAACTCTGCTTTTGTCACAGGTCATTTAATTACCTTGATTTGCGGTTCTTTCTTGATTAATTAAAAGGTTACTCAGGACTTGCTTTCCTTTCTTCTTCTTTTATTCCTTCCTGCTTGCCTCCCTCTCTCTTTCTCTGCTTTCTCTCTTATCAGATACACTTTCAGCAAAATGTAAATTGAAGGGAACTTCCTTTATCGGATATTTATTTAATGAAAACTTCTCACAACACTGCAGTTAATATTAAGTATACTCATATTTAAAGTGAATCAAGGATCATCACTTGCTGGAATGTTATTCAATATATATATATATATATTGCTATAAATTATAAAAAATGAAAAGATAGAGGTAAAATAGCTTTGTAAAATTCACCTGATATACAAGAAAAAGCCCAGGGAATCTGAAAAAAAAAACCAAAAAACAACAACTTAGAATAACATGTAAATTTAAGCATGCTTAATGTAAATAATGATAATGTCCAAAGTAAATATATTTATATTGTTTGTAATAAAATTTAATATGTAATTCACTATGCACTTAGAAATAAACAGTACACTTATTTTATTTAATATTTTATTTAAAATTGTATAAAAATTCTCTTAGCTGGGGCCCTCCCTGGTGGCGCAGTGGGTTAAAGCACAGCACTGAGAATCTAAAAGCCGCTTCCGCATGAGTTCGATTCCTGCCTGCCCCGGAGGTGACCACATGGCGTGGCAGACCTCTCCTGACCCGCCCGCTGCTCCCCTCAGCAGTGTACTTCGTCGATCTGCCTGTTCTGCTCCCCACTCTGTCTCTGGTGAATCCTCTCACCCTCCGCATCTCTGGCCTATACCCCAGTTCTGTATGAATAAATAAATAAATCTTTAAAAAAAAATTCTCTTAGCTATAAAATTATATTAAAGAAAAATAAAGTAAATCGACAAATAAATATAGCAATATCATGAATCATTTTAATTACAAATTACAGGTTATATGTACTGGTAGGTATTCATCTATTTCTAAATTTAAAATAGCACTTAAAACCCACAATATATTTTTACAGATATTGATAAGCTAATTCTAAGAATTGCATGGGGATACAAAGTACTTTGCATAGTCAAACCATTCTTGAATTAGAACAAATTTGGAATGCTTGTACTTCCTGAGATCAGAATTTACCATAAAATTATAATAATTAACATATTTTTGAAAATATCATAATTACAGGTTATGTATCAATTAAACATTATAAATAAAACAGAATTACACCCCCACTTAGAATTGCCCACTTATGTGGTCAATTCCTTTTTAAATTGTGGTAAACTCTATATAAATAAAAGATTACCATTTTAACAATTTTAAGTGCTCAGATTAGTGTCATTGAAAAAAAGTACATTACTTTGTAACTATCAGCCCTATCCACTTCCAAAATTTTCATCATCTCATACTGTACAAATTAAACAATAATTCCCTCTTCTCATTCTCTACTTACAACTATTCTACTTTCTGCCTCTCTTTACTAAATATTCTAGCCAAATAATATTTGCAATCCTGTGTCTGGCTTATTTCACTTAACATTATGACATCAATGATTATCTATTTTATAGCATGCATCACAGCTTCAATTCTTTATAATAATCAATCATAACCTATTGTATTCTACTTACTTTGAATATTTGGATTGTTTCTATCTTTGGCCTTTATCAAGCTTTTGGGCACATGAATATCTGAGTCAACGATAATTTTATGTACAAAGAACTGAAATTGCTGGATAAAATGGTAACACTAGGCTACTTTTTAATTTAATTAGATATCCAATTTACAAACATTTCTTCCACCTTGTGGATTTCCTTTTTACTTTGATGACTGTTTTCTATAATATAAGACAAGTTTTTAATTTTGATGAAGCCATGTCTGCCTTTCTACTAATGGCTGTACTTTTAGTGTTTATCCAAGAAAGCATCACCAAAACCAAGATCATGCATATATCCCCATGATTTTCTACTCACACCTATGTTTGATCAATTTTGAGTTAATTTTTGTATTTGGTGAAGGCTAATGTGACTCTTTTGGGGCTAGATCTAGTTTTTCTAATAGCATTTGTGTTTTGGCATCCTTATTGAAAATCATTGGACTATAAGTGGTCATCCTATTCTTTTCCTTTGTTTTATATGTCTATTTCAGTGAATCAGTTTGATTACTGTAGGTTCTTGACAATTTTGAAACTGTAAAGTATGTTTTGTCCAGTTTAGTCTTTTTCAAGACAATTTTGGGTACTTGGAGTTCTTTGAGCTTCCATGTACTAAAATTTTAGCAAGTATTTTCCCATTTCTATAAAATTACATTGAAATGTTGATGGTAGTATTAAATATTAGCTCACTTTAGATAGTGTTGGGATCTTGCTGGCATTCAGCTTTTGAATCCTTGAAACAGATATGCATTTCCATTCACTGACCTACTTAACATGCATGATAAAGTTTATAGATTTTATTGTATAAATATTTTAGTTCCTGATTTTTACTTACTAAATATTTTGTTGATATATATGCTATTGTACATGGGATTATTCTCTCAGTTTTCAGATTGTTCTTTGTACCACATAGAAATGCAAACAATTTTGATGTGTCTTCCTTCTCTGTTACTACTCTGCATCATTCTTTTGTTTAGTTTAACATTTTGATTTTTTTTCAATCCTCAGATATTCTTTGTATAATATGATGTCACTACTGAACAAAGATACATTTTCTTCTTCCTTTATAATTTGGATAATGTCCCTATCCCCCGATTTCTTGCATGAATTATCTAATTAGACTTTGTGGTACTATGTCTACTGATAGTGAAAGCAGGCTTCCTTGCCTTGTTCTTAGCATGAAAGCTTTCTGTCCTTAACCTTTATAATTTTATCTGTAGATTTTGTATACATGGCCTTTGTTACTTGAGGCAGTTTCTTATTATTCCCAATTTATTTAGTGTTAGGAGAGTGCTAACTTTTGTCACGAGTGTGCTGAATTTTTCAAAGGATTTTTCTGTTCCAATTGAAATGATTATCTATTTTGTGTCCCCTCATTCTGTTAATGTGGAGTATGTCATTGATTGAATGACATATGGTGGAACATCTTTTCATCCTAGAAATAATTCCCACATAATTAGGATATATAATTATTTTAATATACTGCTGAATTTCCTTGCTATTATTACATTGAAAATGATGACCATAAAGGTTATTGGTCTATAGTTTTCTCTCCTTAAAATCACTTTTTCTAGTGTAACATGACTATTGGTTTCAAACATGAGTCTGTAGGTTTTGCAACCTATTAAAATTTGTGGAAGAACTCAGAAAAATTCTCAGTCTACCGTCTCGGTACTACTTTCTTTACATTTCATATGTTTTGATATGTTGCAATTTCATTTTTATTCATCTATACTTTTATTCTCCCTTGTAATTTCTTGTTGATTTACACAGTGTTTGTTGAAGAGTATGTTAATTTGTGAATTGCATTTTCCTTTCTGTTATTGATTTCTCACTGTAACCCACTGTGGTTAGAGAAGATTCTTTCCATGGTTTCTGTCTTCTAAAATATACTGACATTTGTTATCTAGCATATAATCTGTACTGGAAAATGTCCAATATTTTTTGAGAAGAAATCTGATCTTTCAAAGGATCAGATATTTATTTTTTAATGCTTTGTGATTTTTGTTGTGGTTGAAACCGGGCATTTGGTTTATAGTGAGGTAAATTTGGAAGTACATTATTTTACTTCTCTAGGGCTTGTGACTTTTGTTAATTTGTTTCTTTGTCTTAATTTTTTTATTTGTTTTTGTGCTAAGGATTAGACTTAGATAGCCACTAGAGAGCTTCTGAGTCTTACTCTTTCCTGAGCATCTATTATGACTTCCTAAATACATTCATATACATAATGTACTATAAATATCCTTTTTTAAGGTATCTGGCTTCAAAA